TTGTATATAGTTATTACTAGAATTTTTATTAAATATTAGATTGTTTTTGAATAACTTTAAGCGTGCACCAAATTAAATAATGACAAAGTCCAGGCCTGGCACACTAACGCAAATCCGCGTAAAGTACTCGTTAGGGAACTGCTATTTCCGGCACACAGTCGTGTCGATAATCGGTGGAAAAATAATATAGTACTTTACAGTTTATAATTTCTATTTTAATTATTAAATTATTTAATATGACAACTCAAGAAACTGAGAACCCAAAAAAGAAGAAGCAAACTTGTAATTTAATAAAGATTGGCTGATACAAAATAAATTTCAAAAATGGTTACAACCTGTTCAAGAATCTGATGAAATGGCTAGGTGTGGTGTTTGCAATACTATTTACATTTAATGTAAAGTGGGATGGTGTGAAACCTATGAAATATCACATGGAAGCAAATACTCATAAGCAAAGAGTATCTTTACTTGCTCATAACTACAATCTGGCCAAATTTTTTCAACCAAAAAGTTCTAAATTTAATGATCAGGTAACAGCAGCATAATTCACACAAGTTTATCATAGTGTAAAGTCACATCACAGTTATTTATCCATAGAATATGGAAGTAAAGTTAGCAATTCCATATTTCCTGACTCGATGGTTTCTAAAAAATATAAGACTTGGACGTACAAAAATTGAATCTATTGTGCAAAACACATTAGCTCCCTATGCCCTTGAATTAATTATATCTGTTGCAAAGCATTTACCATTTAATGCTTCCACAGATGTTTCTAATAAAGTTATGAAAAAGTTATTTCCAATTGCCATTTGTTATTTTAATTTGATTAACACGACAACCTATTGTGCATGCTGTTATCGATATCAAACAATCATGGGGTGAAACTTCTGAAAAAATTTTTGGTGTTGCAAAATTAAAAACAATTAACAATAATTTAATAAAAGCTAATTGTAATTGTCATATTCTCAATAATACCACTAAATATGCATTAAAAACAGTGAAACATGATGTGGAAAGTTTAATATTAAAAGTCTGCAGCAAATTTTCATCAAGTATCTGCATCATCAAAGAATCAAGAAATTGTTTCAATTTCCTGGATCAGTCATATTATGAAACATTGAAGCATATTTCTACTAAAAGGGTGAGCTTATATAAAGCTATTGATAGGTTACTGAAATTGGCTTGCTATTATCCTTTATTTTATAAATCAGAAGAAGAACGTAATCCTACAATCTGGACATTTGTGCAAGATCGTGAAAATAGTATTAACGATGGAAAATCCTTACCAGAAATGATGTTATATTTCATACATTCCTTTTTACATATTTTCCAAAAATATATATTAATTCTTGAAAGAGAAAACATTGACATCACCGAATTACACACAGTTTTTACAGATCTTAGAAATGATATAGTGCAAAGTAAAGAACAGTGCTTTTACAGTTTTATAGTTAATCAGACTATTTGGGATTTTCCAGCAAATAAGAAATCGCTATTCAAACAAGAAGCTGATAAGGTGTACTCACGAGCATTGAAGTATTTAAACGGCTGCTATGGTTTCAAAAATGCAATTTTTATTTCAGTTAGAACATTATTTTTTAAAATAAATTTTTTAACTATACAAGACTGCTGTGAACTTGGTAAATATATAAACAAAATTGACTTCAAAGTAAAAGGCGACAATGTTTTTAATGAACTTTGCACAATAAAGGAAAGAGTAGGAAATTTGGAGAACAAGTTAAAAGCAGAAAAAAATACAGTAGAGCGTTATTTATCCGAAAGCCGGTTATCCAAAATGTCGGTTAACCAAAAGCATTCCGATCGGCAAATTTAAATTTTCGCTAGTGCTGTGGTGCTGCAATTTTTGGCTATATCTTGGGCTACTCCAATATTTTTTTTCTTGGTGTGCGTGTGTTTTAGCTGGCAGCACTGGCACTTTTGCGTGGTGTTTTTCTGAGGACTGTGTGTCGTGCCGAATCGAACATTTTTGATACTAGATCAACTTCTAAAGTATATTTTTTTTGGTTTTTATATTTTTCAATATATTTATTTTGTTTGTAAAAAATAAAGAAATAATTTTTAACGATACAATAGCCACGATTATTATTTAAAAAAGTTTACGTTAGGCTTAACATCGACAAAAATTCAACACAAAATGACACGCAACGGAGAAAAATTTCAACATGGGATAGGTTAATATATTTTTTCGTATGTAATCGGTTATCTGAAAAATAAGTTATACAAACAACCTGAGTCCCCAATTGATTTGAATAAATGACGCTCTACTGTAATTCACAGTTATGAACATTTATATTAAAAAAAAAAATGTTCCAAACATTCAGAGGACAATTGAATTTATATTTAGCATTCCAACTTCTAATAAATACATTATAAGATGTTTCTCTTCAATGGATAACTTATAGTGGGATAAAATAAACAGATTAACATCAGAAAATGTTAAAGCTGAAATATTAATTTGCAGTAACAAAAATTAAATGTAAAAATTTTTATAAAGAAATAATAATAAAATTTTAGCAGCAGTTAGGAGAAACCAAAATTACGCTTTTAAGATGGTAAATAAAAAACAACGTTATATTTATTTTTATGTAATTTTTCTCAATTATTTCTATATAGTTGATTAATATATGTATCCATTACTCGTGTTAATTTTCAAATTTCTACATTTATATTATATATTGTATCAGATACAATGTATCTTTTGTTAATTATTATTATTAATATTGGTATGTGTTATTATTTATTATTCTTACTTTTATGTATTATTTTTGCAATTAATATCGACATCGGACTGTTATTAATTATTTTTGGACATGCCACGTTGTTATTGTATTACTTTAATATTATATCGTGTACGTGTTTACCTTCTAATAAAAGAAATATTTATTTCCTACTCACAATAAAAAAAACTGTGGTCTGAAGACCATGTGTTCTGTTGTGCAACCAGCTCCTTTGGATGCAGATGCTCGATGAAGACTGAAGAACCCAGATCGAAGAGGAGATCGCGCATTCTAAAAGAAGAGGCGGGCTTTTAGGAGAAAATAAGAGAATAGATGAACGAGTCGCAAGTTTGGTTTTTTTTTTATTATTGTTATTTCTTTTATGGACTAAAATATACCTTAAGTTCCTTGCATTGGAGTAATAGAGTGCATGATTTATCTCTCTGAAGTTTAATTTTGTTTGTTCTTGCAAGAGGAATACTCTAAAGATTGAGTACTTCCCCATAAAACCTAATTTTTTTATTTCTAAGTATAACATCCTAATTTTAAAATGTCCAGGTCAGCAATTTTGAATAGGTGTCAACACTATCACCAATCTGTAACACAGGGATGTCCAACTTGCGGCCCAAGGCAAGTTCCAATGCAGCCCAATAAAAGTGTAAACAAAACCGACAAATTTTTATTTTATTTATTTATTTAAATGACACAAATTCAAAAAAGATGTTTCACAAAGCTGTAAACCTTTATACATATTTTACTTTTGAGTGGAAAGGAAATATTTTCAAATACTTGGAAATGTGTGAATGAAGAAGGTATATTAAATAAAGCTGAAGTTGTGACTCAAAGGAGTATAGACTCAAATTCGGGACAAGGAGAGAAAGGCCAAAAGATAAATAGTAGTGAGAAAGGTTAAATATACCTTCTGTTATGCAAATATTGACCATTAATTTTCCAACTTTCCTCACTTCTTTATCTTGTGTCCTTCCTCTCCTTTCCTCACTTTGGGTCTATAATATTTTGAGTCTCAACTCCAGCTTTATTTAGTACTCCTTCCAGTGTTGCAAGATTTGGCTACTTTGCATCAAATTTGGCTACTCTTTTATTAGTTTGGCGTAAAAAATATCATTTACGCATTGGCTACTTTTTGGGCTACATATTATTTATAAATACAGTAAAGCATCGATTATCCGACCCCCGATTAACCGTCACATCGGTTAACCGACCGCTCTAGTCGGCAAATTCAAATGTCTGCTAGTGATGTGGTGCTACAATATTTGGCTATGTCTTGGTACTTTAATAGTACTTTTACGTGTTTTAGCTGGCAACACTGGCTTGACCATAGAAGGGAGACCAGTATTTAAATGAGGCTTAATTTTCTAATTTTTAATGATACAATAACGACGATTATTATTTTAAAAAAATTTTTGTTAGGCTTAACGTCAATGAAAATTCAACGCAAAGTAAGTTAATAGCAATATATTAATATACTATACTAATAATGTATTTTTTCATATTTTTCGGTTATCCGTTTTTTCAGTTATCCGACCAACCCCAGTCCCCAATTGATCTACTGTATATTAGTTGAATAAGAATGCACTTTAAAATGGTGTTTTGTCATTTTTTATTAATTAGAGACCCAAATAAAGCAAATATTTGTGTTTTTCAAATAAATTTTTGTTTGCCTCCTTTATAATAAATGAATTTATTTATTTCTAAGTAAAAATTGAAAGTGTCTGTAGAAGTAATTTTTTAAAATATCCTTATTCGTAATAAAGTTTTAATACTTATTACTATAATCTAAACATGTTAATCCTTAAATATACTTGTATATTTAAGGATTGGGCCAAAATATACTTGGGCCCAAAACTCCATGATTTCTTCCAATGTGGCCCAGAGAAACAAAAAGGTTGTACACCCCTGCTGTAACATATCCAGAAAAAATCATTCTTCACATACAAAATGGAGTCATCACAGAAAAGACAAAGATTTACAATATTGCTAACAGAAAAAGTAATTGAAATGTACTATGCTCGAAATTATGAAAAATACACTTACGATCTTTTGAATATTCATAGTTTTATTTTGTAACACCCCTAATTATGCATTAATTACTCCTAGTCACTCATTATTTTACAGTAAAAGACTAGTTTCTAGTGCCTATTTAATAGTTTTGCTGCCTATCCTAAGTTGAATTTTTTACTGCCTAAAAATGCAAAATCTGATGATAACATATAATTTTATTTTAATATTACTTTAACTTACCGGGAGGTATCTGTGAACTCCACATTGTATTTGCAGGCATAGCCTTATACTGACCGCTAGTATCTTGAACGAGGGACGGCTCGTCATCGTCGGTTTTATCCGGATGCAAATTATCACAATTATCAAAGTCGTCGTTTAAAGACGACATATTCTGTAGATTCTGAACCACCGAATTTCGATCGAGATAATCGGATGTTAATTTGGACATTTCTCAAATTTGTGAAGTCACGTAATCAGCACATCGGTTGGCCAAAATCAGCAATCTGATACCTGAAATTAAAATCCTTTAAATTTACTTCTAACATAAATAATGACGAGCGACAATCTACTTCTACAAAAAAAATACCAATTCATAATTTCTTTGTGAACATCAGAATATTAAATTTTTTACGTAATAATATAAAATATAAAAAGCAAACACATCAAAATGTACAGTGAATTTCATATGCAATTAAACATAAATTTACTGTTGTTTATAGAGTATTTGTAATGATATGCATTTCAAAACTATAGATTAGAAAAAAGAATTGATCTTAATTAGTAAAATGTATTATCTAAGCATTCCCAATTAAGAGTACTAGTAAGGAATAACAAAAGACATTTTATCCAAAATATACTTCTTCGTGTAACTGGATCAATAACCATGACCAAGAACACATCAAAGTTGTGGTGATTCAAGTACATAACTTAACATAAATTATTCATTGGAATTATCAAGACTTTGATTTGCATACTTGGCATTTTACTCAGTGTGATGGAAATTTAACAATCAAGCAGTTACTTTTAACAATAATCCAATTTTAGTGGAATCAAAAAGTATAACATTATATCAGTTCTTTGCATATTTAATTCATGTTAGAAATCAATGAAATAATCTTTTCCCTCAACAAGTTTGTATGGTGTGTGAGACACTAAATGAACAAATATTTTTTTATCGGTCATTTATAAATTTTTTCCAATCAATCATTATTGCTAATTTAAGCTCTCTAACGTTAAATATTTTTTGTTAATTTCTTGAACATTATCCCTCATAAATTTTCAATTAAGATTTATATGTGAACTTCTGGTTTGTCAAGAATTACTGTATTTCAATTTTTTTTCTAACCATTCCTTAATGGATTTTAATAAAATCAATTTTAGCTGTTTGAAAAGTATTTTGATGTCTGTATAGGAGCATTATCTTGCTGAAATTTCCAGTGAGATACATAATGGGGCAAAAGCTATCGAATTGTCGTGCAATCATTCTTGATATTTTTTAGATTCTAGATGTCCTTTGACACTGGCCAAATCTTTCTCTATCTAAAACCAAAGTACCCAGAGTCATGACAGATATAATGTCCACATCCAAAACTGAACTTTCTCCTTTTCTTAAATCATATCAATGAAATGCTGATCTATCTGGTCCATCTAAACTCCATTCTTTTGATGTATCATATTCAAATTTTTATCAATGATACAATCAAAATTAAGATTTTCATAAAATCATATTTATCGCAAAAAACATTTCAACAAGCAAAAATGCATGTTCACTTATATTCTGTTTTTTGGTCAAAAAAGCTATTCAAATTAAATCTATTTTTTGGGACCGTATCCTTGGTCCACGTTTTTCTAGCAGATCAGAGCTTCCATGAGCCGAGGCCATTTTCAATTTTCTGGGAGAACACCAAATTTGTTGATTTCGAAATTCTCCAAATAGAACACCACAAAGCCAAAGAAAAAGCAATTCTGGTCACTTCTCTCCTCAGCTTGCAGTCATTAGTAGTTATTAGTCACAGTTAATTAAAGATTTGTCCAATCTTTCAAAAATAAATTCTCTGGTCTGTCAGATCTTATTATTCCATAGTTTTCATCAGCTTTAAAATCATTTCTCACAGCAATGCAAGATCTAACTTCTTTAGCAATTTCTCAACAGTGTTTTCTGGCATCTGAGTTTTCAAATTTAATTTTCATCAAGTTGTGTTAAACACCGTTAGTCATATTAATAAGAAAACAATTTTGAACTTCCTGTCAAATAGTTCCTGTCCTTCTAAAACTTTTACTGGAAAATAAAGATTGAATTTCCATGCAAATACAGAACACAGTCTTATAGATGTGGCAAAATGATACTACGAGAGCTATTTTTTAAATAAGGTCAGTTTTTTAATAAGAAGAAAAATTAAAATATATTTTTTCCCATATTCTACATACTTTTAACTACTTTTTTACATAATTTCCATTTTTGTTCAAACATTCGTCATACCACTCAAAAATTATTAAAATTCCAACTTCAAAGAAATCTGCCGCCTGCTATCGGAAGACATTAGGCCACGCCGGTTGTCTTGTATGGCACAGCAAAGTTTTCTAAGGTCACACAATAAGCATCAAAATTGAGTTTTGTGCCTCTTGGCATAAAATCCACTAACAAAGTCCCTTTCCTGTCCCAAAAGACAGTTACCACGATCTTTCGTGCCGAAATTGAATAACAGATTGTATCTTACAGTCGGCAGGAGACTCAATTTTCTTGAACATTATAAACTTCTACAGTTCGGCACACGGACAGACGATACGGCTGCAAATGGCATCTAAACACGCGCAAAGCGTGTCGAAAGCAGATGCTCGCACACACTGCTGCAATTGCGCATCATTCTCACTCCGATTCACAAATAGACCTTATTTAAAAAATAGCCCTCGTATATTCCACAAATACCACAGAGACATCACCAAATAGTTACTGTATCAGTAAATTTACATCTTAATTTATATCAACACAACAGAACCACATTTCATAAAACGAAAAAGAAGCTTGTGCATATAATATTTATTCTCTTACAGGTATGCAAGGTATGCTCATGTGATCGAAGCAGGAAATATATTTCAAAAAATGCAAAAACAGGTAAATTAATCCACAAAGCAAATTTTCTCACATTTGTGTGGAATTATAGTATTTCTATTAATTACATCTAAGGATTCTAAGAAAATTTGAAAAATAAATCAATAAAACTGAGTTCTTATATCTTATAAAAATGACTCTTTTTTGAAACAGATAAAATTAGTATTATTATTGAAAATAAAATATGATTTTATTTGAAATGTATGATTAGAATTTAACAATGTGTTTAATGGTCCTCACTTGCACCATAAATTTGATTAAAAAAAAAACAGTACTCTTACAGTTTCAAACATGCCTTAAAACCAAATGAAGAAAAAGAAAAAAGAGTCTTCTCTCTCTTGTAAACTCATTCATTATAAAAAAATAATTAATAGTAATTGATTCATAACTTTTTCATAAATATTTCTCCAATTAACTGTAATACAATTTTTATATTTTGATGACTTATAATTACATCTATACTGACCAATAGCATTCCTACAAAATTTAAATGACGAAATATGAGGAAATTCAGTAAATGCGGACACGTTATTGTCAACTACTGCATTAAGAAATGAAATCACTTTTTCTGGAAATCAAAGTTTATCATTAGGAAAAAACTATCTATCTCAAGCCGATACTGGATTACATGTGAGCATCAAAAAAAAACAGAACAGCAAATACCAGAGTGCCAGAGTATTATAAGAGTTAATTAACATTTTTGTGGAAATGGAAGTGTGCAGGTAATCACTCAAGGAATGTGCTGGACAATGAAGAGATGGACCAGAAGTCTACTATATTTGCCCTCAAAATTAAAGCATCAAAATTTCTTTTAAATGTAAATATAATGACTACACATTTTATAATAATTTTTGAAGCGGGCTCTTCTTCAACTCTGTTCCTCCATCTTTTATTTCTAACAAATTTAACATCTCTCTGTCTCTCATTTCATTTGGCACCAACTTTGGGCAGCAGGCATACACAAGAGTTGCCAATGCACACTGCATTTGTCACCTAGGTGACAGAGAGGCCACACGGTTGATTGGTCAACGTTTCTGAGTTCTATGCAACCTCCACTGAACACTGCCATGCTGTCATCCATGGAAAGACAATCAACAGACACAACATGTGGAAGGTCATACCGTGGGAGAAGTACAGTTCTCCGAGAGATTCCGGAGGGACCTGGCCTCTCTCCATCGACAAGAAAGGAACACATTCCGTATGTTTTATTTACAAAAAGGACAGTATGGCCCAATCCACAAATCAGTCTTCCTTTTGCTGCATTATGACCACCATCACACCAGACAAGGCAAAATCTGGCAGTTTTTTGACAAGTGGCCAGAACACTTCCTAAGAGAGTTGCCATTCTAAAGGAAAACTCATCAGATCTAATAAGAATATCAAACTTTAGCAAAACCTCGGGTGAGTAACAATTTTTAGTTGGACATGTTAATGAATAGTAAAGCACTTAGTGAAATGTTTTGTGGGTTATAAAACAATTTTAAAACAATGTTTCCACAATTAATTATACCACACTGCCTCTCATAGTGCGCCCAGCTGAACCTAAGACAGACTCAAAGTAACCTTCTCAGTATCCACTGGGCCCGAAAAAAAGTACTTCCATTACACAAAAATAAAAACTACAAGACAACAGAGGATAACTATTGACAGAAAATCTGACAAAATACCACATGGCTTTTTGCATTTTATTTGCATTATTCTCCCAATTTTCAATTTTTCACTAACAATAGAGACCAACAATGCTCACAAAAAGCAGTATAAACACAAGTAATTTTATTCATATCACTAATGTTGTCGATGCATTCTTCTTCCTCTGCCAAATACAAAAATAATCTATAAACTAGAAGGAACATATATTAACACAAAGCTTGCGCATCTATTAGCGTGACACCGACTTTTTGTGGGTTTGCAAAAGCACTTTGAAATTTTTCACCATCAAATAATGATCGGTTACTCACAGCTTCTTGCACAGATGTATTGATCTTTCTGGTATTTCAACATTATAATTATTCAATGACTCTTGTGATTCGTAACAACAGATGCATTTTTAATTATTCTGGATTTAGTCCCTTCTTGATGTACCAAAAATATTATGCAAGAAATTGTTTATGAAGAAAATATTATGCAAGTGTTTACAAGGTGTTTACAGAGTTTACAAGGTGGGGAGTGGCACCCGTTTGTTTTTCTGGGGAAAAACAAACGGGTGCCACTGCCATCCACAATGCATTTCTGGAACAATCTCTATAACGATTCCGGCAAGCGCAAGCTTCCACAAATAATTACATAACATAATAATTTAAAAGGGAGTAGATAAAGTAGACGAAACGGTCGGAAAATACGGTACGTCTATACACCTCAGAAAACTGCCACTTAGAGAGTTTTCCCATTCGACAGACATAGAACATATCGTTATTTGGGTCGTCGGGCGTTTCGCTCGCCCGACGACCCAAATAACGAAACAAAAAGCATTCTTCAGCAAAAGAGTCGGACGAGGACGTCGGCACCGGACGAGACCACCAAAGAGACCGCAAGATATAAAGTAAAAATGGAAGAAAACGAGTCCAAAACGACAGAAAAGCGCGGCAGGGCACGCCCGAGCGACCCCGGAAAAACCGAGTCTTTCGCAACCCGAGCCCCGGCACGAACCGAGAAATACCGACGCAGGCAAAACATTTAAAGTACGCAAACCGGCAAGGCGTGGAAAACGACACACAACGCACAGTTATCGAGTACATTATAAATACGTTTTTCAAAATATTACATTTATCGATACAAATAATAAAGTGCAAATTTATTAAATAAGGAAACATTATTTTTTTCGATTCCATTTTCATTTTTGAATGCGAGAGACTCGAAGGACCCATACAAAGAAAAAACCGGCAGATTTTTAAAACCCATTCCCCGCGCCCGGGGGTGCGGAAAGAGTAAAGAGAAGGCAAAGGAGGGAGCGTCCGTAAATTACGCAACGTTTTTAGAGGTTTACCTCCCCCGTGCCCGGACCCCCGAAACAAGATACGTAAGGCGGTAAGAAAATTGGGCAGCAAGACAGTTTCCTATAGGAAGAGCTGCAGTTGTTGGTAACACGTGAGAAATTTTCTACGCCGATACAGTAAAAACGGGAATTGCGATTTAATGCGAACGACCGCAAATTTAAAACGGATCGATTTATTCGGCACGGAAGGTCGAAAGATAACGTTTGGCCGGGTCTTTAAAACGCGCAGGTGGACGGGAAGAAAACTGCAACCGCCGGCTCGCCTAGCAAAGGAAAAGCGAGACAGACGTTATTCCTCGCTTTTCCTTCAGTAGCCGACCGCCGCCGGCAAATGTCCGTAACAGACTTTTGCCGGGCGCGGAAGGCGCGCCGTTTTTTGTCGTCTCGGCGGCCGCCGCCCGTCCCGCGGCGGAAGCGCGTTTCTGTCCGGTCCGGTAATTGCGGGCGACGGGGCCTTTGTTTTTCTCGGACGAAAACCGCGGAACGGAGTTTATTAACGGCCGAGACGCATACTCACCCGAGAACGGATCCGGCTTTCGGTAGGGCGGAGCACTCGGATCGGCGGTGGCCACGCGGGACGGCGGTAACCGTGCCAACGCCACCGGAGAAATCGGCCGAGGCGGAAGACGACCGCCAGAGGTCGCCGACGACGGATGCCTCCCGAAGGACGAGCGCGAAATCGCCCAAAACCCGCGGACTCCGGTAATGCGTAGGGATTTTACGGGTTTTCCGGTCGACAGACGATTCTAGCGGGACTTAAGTACGTAGGCCAGTAAAATAAAAATGCTTTGTTTGTACGGACTTTGTCTTCCACTGGTAAACGTCGGTAATATTTCAAATTACATTTATCTTGTAGAAAAAATGAAGGAGTTAAAGCCAGAACATGTATTGTGTTATATGATTTTTCCAGATAATCTAAGTTTTACCTCGGCGGCATAAGTAATATCATTGGAGTTTTCTCATTTTTGCTCGCGGTCGTTTTCGAAATTGTGCCAAGTTGACATCATTGACCATAATTATCGATTACGTCTCTTCCAACTTTGACTCGGAAAAAGAAAAAACTCGTTTTCCATCACTCGATTAAATTGGTTAAATTAAACTTTCCTTGGACAATATTTTGTAATCGTTTGATCTTTTTCTCTTAGTTTTTCAAAAGTTCTCTCCCGCTAACTACCGGTCAATTGTTACAGTCTACATCAAAATCCGCACGTTTCCGCAAACATATCTGTTATCCGCAAAAATCCGCACGTTTCCAAATATCTGTTAGACATAATTAGGAAACTTTCGAAAACTTTTAAAATGTGCAAAGACGTAGAAAAAAATGCAAAAGTTGTAAAGTTCTACTTATTTAAGATAAAGTAAAAAATCTCTTGGGTTTGCCATTACTGTACTTCCTATAAAAGTTTACCATTGACTATTATTAATAAAATATACATATTAAAATACATACCTTGGCGATTAATATCCATCTTAATGTTTGATAAAAACACTGAAAACAGCCAGCGAAACAAGTGCGAAAACGACACTGACGACATTTATATGTCGTTGGAAGCACATTACCTGAAAACAGAAACTCAGAAACACAACTGAAACATATAGCGTTTTCGTTTTAAGTCGACACCACTAGAAATGCGCCATCTGTTGATCAGTTCTGTAATTGTCGTAGAGTCAAACACGGACGATGCTACGGATTTTGCCACGCTTTCTCCGCATTTATTAACAATGAAATATTAATAATCTTTGAATTATTTACATTTTTTGTCGTACAGACATGTCTATTTTCTAACTTCTTCGATGAAGAATTCCAAATCTATTTGTTTCCTCGTCGTTTTCGCTACACTTTCCGCCATTACGACAATCAAACAACGCGCGACTACGCGTCACAAATCCTCGCGTTTTTATTGGTTGCATTACGACAGAAGCGCCGAACAAAAACGGAAAAGTTAAATAAGTTTTAACTCCGCTTTCGGTCTTGTTTCTGTCCAACTGGACTTTACAAAACTGAAAGTTTCGTCAATTTGGCTTTCAGTTTTACGATTACGTCGCGGATTCCGGTAATGTGGAGTCCCGGCTTAAATACTCGCATGACATCTATTCCACAGGAAAAAACGAATACAGAATAATGTTAATAAACAGCAGTAAATGCAATGTAGATTCCATACAGAACCTCGTAATTGTGGATAAAATGCGCAAAACTTATAATTAAATAAAATTAATAACAGTATAACAAGAAAAAACAACGTATTCGCACGACAATAAATTGCGCGTGTAAAATAGTAATTACAAAGCTAACACGATAAGTAGACAGTCTTTAAGTCAAAGTCAGTGTTAGCGGTAGATCAGTTGGCTTGTGATCCGATTGATCTTTTTTGCAAGTCTTTTAAAGGCAGAGAATATCTTTCGGTTGGTCCAGATGTTTGAGAGGTGGCACGGCCAAGCTATGATCAATTCCTGCAAGAGTAGCCGCAGTTCAGTTCTTTCTATTTCGGTCATCACACAATCAAAATGTAGTGTTGAGATCCATCCGCAATCATACGGGTTGGGCACTGATCTAATGTTCTGTTTAAAAATCTGGCAAGGTACTGTACGTAGCAAATTTTCCGTGATTTGTAAATAATTGAGTTGTGTAGTAATCGGGAGTAAACCATTTTATTTTAAAGAAGGTTTATAAGTCGGGGACAAATTGAAACGTGATACTTCGGTTACTATCATTCCAACGATGTCGCCAATGGTTAATATTAGGGTCAGTCTAATGAAAACGAGACAGATGGGAAAAAAGTAAGTAAACTGTTTATTATTTCAAAAGTAATTGCCATAACTGTTGATACATTTATCCCACTGTGAGACAAGACGGTCAATGCCTTCGTAGAAAAATGTTTGCGGATGCCTACGAAACCATAATTGTACCCAGGCGTGCACTTTTTCGTCCGAAGCAAATTGATGGCCACGAATGTCTTTCTTCGGGGCTCCAAAAATATGGAAATCGCATGGGCAGAAATCGGGACTGTATGGAGGATGTGTATGGACTATGCTGCAAAAGTTCCCAGTGAAACTTCTGCAGCGTAGTCAAAACAATCATGGTAACATGTGGGTGGGTATTATCCTGCACCAAAATGATGCTGTCTGTCAACATTCCTGGGTGTTTGGATTTGATAGCTTCAATTTTTGCAAAGCTTCTATGTACAGTACCGATGTTCATTAATTGTGGCGCCGTGTTCCAGAAAGTCAACGAGCAGCGGACCTCCATAGTGATGTTGGAGGCACACACGACTCGCCGACCTCATTTCGAGCACGTTTAACGGACAAATGGCACAGCGGTGAACGTTCACGCTGTTCCTCCCTGATTCCCAATAGAGGGCACTTCTATATACACACCTACCTGCATTACCAACTTCCGTACCACACTTGCGTGAAGCTCCGGAAGTAGGTCGAAATTCGTGTACAGAAAATGTTTTAATTTCGTATGAAAAAAATTTTATAATTATTAATCTTATTGTAAAAGGAAACCGTCAAACGCAAAATGAATATTTTATGTCCATATAAGGACATATCTGTGAAAATTTCTAAGTAAGTCAAACTACTCAGGTTAAAACAATGGATGAATTTGAGTACTTAGATCGAACGTCTTCGATAGGAATCAAATTGTCAATCGGAGATGACTCACCCCGCGATCTGGACTCCGATCCCGTTATGATTCGATTTGTAATGAGTAGGGGGACCAATTGGAGAACGGGGGAAAGTCAACATCAACCTATCGGAATGTTCGATCTGGGACCCAGTAAAACTTATAAAAATCGCGCAAAAATAGGATGTGACGTTCTTGGTTCATAGTTCTTGGCCTTTGGTTCGCAGTGCTCCTCTCCAGGATTCTTGTCATCNTCGAAATTCGTGTACAGAAAATGTTTTAATTTCGTATGAAAAAAATTTTATAATTATTAATCTTATTGTAAAAAGAAACCGTCAAACGCAAAATGTATATTTTATGTCCATATAAGGACATATCTGTAAAAATTTCTGAAAAAGTCGAACTACTCAGGTTAAAACAATGGATGAATTTGAGTACAGTACTTAGATCGAACGTCTTCGATAGGAATCAAATTGTCAATCGAAGTTGATTCACCCCGCGATCTGGGCACCGATCTCGTTACAATTCGTAACGAGGAGGGGGACCAATTAGAGAGCGGGAGTAGATCGGCATCGACCTATCGGAATGTTCGATCTGAGACCCAGAAAAAGCTTATAAAAACCGCGCAAAAAAGGGATGTGACGTTCTTGGTTCGCAGTGCTCCTCTCCAGGATTCTTGTCATCCGGACATTCTCCCACGAGAACTTGTCAGATATTCGGAGGATTTGTCTCCACCCTCCCGTGCCATCAAGATTGCTAAAGTCTGCTTTGTAGATAGAAGACCTCGGTTCAAATAGTGTTGTGCAGCCCGGAGTCGACGTCTTCACGCCTCCATCGCCGGACGAAAAACTATCGTCAGAACAGTTGAACTTTTAGTGTTACGAACTTGTTGCTGAACTTTGGATAGGTCTTACGCCGTTTTAAGGATTTGTTGTAAGAAAAATTTTTATATTTATTAAACTGTATACGATGGAGAACCTGTCTCAGTAAATTTTTTTCACTTCCCACACGACAGTGCTGACCGCTCGACTGTCGAGACACTTTCTTCCCAATCGGCAAACCTCACACTTGTTATATAGTCTGTCTCGTTTTCATTTGACTGCCCCTAATAGTTTCCTCCCAAGCACTGTTCAACTTGCGACCTGGCTCCATAAACTTTTGCTGGTCGACAGTCTGTGTTATCTAAACATCTGTCATGAACTATACACGGCTTCAACATCGACAAAACTTACCACCAAACTAGAAAAACTGTGCTGTGGACACTCGGCCTCATAAGAGTTCATAACACTCTGTATTACGATTAGAATACAACACGCTCAGTTTATTGTTATATAGCATAAGTTTAGTTTTAAGTTAGTTTTAGTTAATTTTCGTTCACCTCTATTTTATCTTATGTACTTTCTCTTTAATAACCTGCGTGACAAGTTGTAAGTTTATATCTATTTTGGTACACCCAACACCTGTATAACCATTTCTATTCATTACCACGATATCGATTTGTAAAATTCATACTGATATTGTACAATTTCTTCACTTTTGTCTCCCTACAATTTGTCAAGCGGTTTTTCATCTGTAAATTATACTTTCATATAAAAAAATTGTATATATATTTCTCAGCTATGTATAATACGGTACTGGGAATACACCTGCAAGGTGCCTAATAAAGAATTGAAGAAGAAGAAGAAGAATAGCTTCCTCCCATAGTAAGCGTCGCAAGGTGATATGACTGATTTTATCGTAGGAAAAAGGAATGGCGGAGTTTAGTGCTGCAGCCTTTGCAAGAGAGTCAGCCTGTGAGTCCCCGATGGAATCTAACCCAAGAAATACTGATATTACATGTTGAGTTTCTGATCGAATTCCTTATTTCCACTGCCAAAGGACGAAGCTTAGTGCTACGGATAATGTTAAGGGCAGAGAGTGAATCTGTGTACATTTGAATATCATAATGTGGTAAATTATCACTAACCCAATCAATGGCCTTTTGAATCGTCAGAAGTTCTGATTGGAAAACAGTACAGTTCGTATGGAGACGATTGTGTATCTCT